ATGATTCTCTCTTATACTCTTCCTCTATCAATTGTTAATAATAATGAATTTAGACAATTTTGTAGTTCACTTGATTCAAGATTTATACTTCCCAATAGTGAAACTATAAGAAACACAATTATTAATGCATATAATCGAACCAACGGACTTATTCAAAATAAAATAATAGAAACTGCGGAGTTTGTGGCACTTACTTTAGTTGTTTGGTCAGACTCTTACGTTGGAATAACTTGTCATTGGATTACGAGTGATTTCAAGTTAATTGACGTTGTTCTCGACGTGATCAATTTTTCAGGAACTCATGCTGCAACGGAACTTTTTGAAAAACTCCAGCTTCTATTATCTAAATTTGGATTAGCTCAAGAAAAAATCGTTAGCATTACTAATGACAATGATAATGTGAAAACTGCTTTGTCACAAATGCAAATTGAAATTATTCCATGTTTGGCAAATATCTTAAAAATTAGCGTTGAATCGGGATTGCCATATACTAATGACATTTTAAACAAGTCAAAAAAGTTGATTGAGATTTTAGGAAATGACACGAATCGTCAAAAATTAAGAGACATTCAACAACAAATTGATCGAAGTATTAAACATCCACTGGATGTATTAAAAGTCAAGGAGGATTGGAATTCAATTTATCATGCTAATCGCCGTTTAATAATACTGCAACCTTCAATTCGATATTTATTTAGTACTCTTAATAACAATATATTAGATATTAGTAGAAACGATGAAAAACTAAAAGAAAATATACTATCTGATGTTGAATTTGATATATGTAGAGAACTTGACATTATCTTAAACCTATTCTATGAATTAACTGAAATGTTGAAAGGTTCAAAATATCCTGCATTGAGTTTCGTGACCCCAGCAATTGAAAATCTTAAGCAACATCTTAGTATTTATCAACCTAAAAATGATGTCATTCGACAGATAATAGATAATATACTAGATAATCTTAAAAAGAACTTTGGAGTGCCTTCAACTCTTGGACTATATGGGTCTTTTTTTGATCCTCGTTTCAAAAAGCTGCTTTATATTGACAGTGTAAATAGTACTTTTAATTGTTTGAATGCCATTAAGAATAAAATAAAGTAATACATTTATTTTTTATATAGGAACTTCGATGCCAAATTTTAAATAATCTTCGTGAACAATTTACGAAACTTGTAGAACCAGCAACTTCCAACACTTTAGGTTCGGATTCGAAAATGTTGACATTTTTTCATATATTTATTCAAGAAAATGGACAAATGGAATTTGATAAATACCTTGAATTACCTCAATTACCTGTAACTGAGGATAATAATCCTTTGAGATGGTGGAGTGAGAATAAACATTTGTTT